GGGGGGGGGGGTTGCATATTCATATACCCGCGCTCTGCCCTACTGATTTCTTTTGAAAGCGATTGTTTTTACGGTATGTGAACATGCATATATGACCTTGCCAGTATGGATCATCTCTTGTTGATCCAGTGTTGCTACAGGAGGAAACCTAAACTAAACAAACTTTATTTATACTGGATAGCTTTATCAGTTCTAAACTGTTCTTCCTAGAGGTCCAGTAAGGATCATCTCTTATTGATCCAGTGTTGCTACAGGAGGAAACCTAAACTATACTAGGTAGCTCTATCAGTTCTAAACTGTTCTTCCTAGAGGTCCAGTAAGGATCACCTCTTATTGATCCAATGTTACCACAGGAGGAAACCTAAACTAAACTAACTATATTTATACTGGATAGCTCTATCAGTTCTGAACTGTTCTCTCTAGAGGTCCAGTAAGGATCATCTCTTATTAATCCTGCATAATATTGTATACAATCTCGAAATGAATCAGTTTTCCTATTTTAAAAGCGCTGCATGTGGGTTTGTATGTTCTACCACAGGTTCTACAGGGTGTCTCAATAGAATGCAACAGCTATAAGTCCCAGATATTTCTACAGCCAATTATCAGTGGGTGTTAAAAATTTAATTTACAAAAGCTGTTTTACATTATCGAAGTTTCAGTATAGGAATTTTGCATGGGTAAATTCTAAGTTTTGAAGGATTTGTAAGAAATGTTTGAGGAAACTGACTATAGTGTTCAACATTAGGGCCATTTATACGTGACAAAATAAGTCGCGACTTACATAAGACGCGACTTAAATAAGTGGAGTTATCGCATAAATGGTTCTCTACGGCTTTGGTCTTATTTATTTGCTATAGCTATAATGTTGTTTTGGTTGTTTTTGTTTTAATATGCAAGGCATTAAATTTTACGTTGTTTCAAGTTTCTGGCATGTGTAGTTAGACTTTTTGTCCAAAATTTCTTATTTAAGACGCGACTTAAATAAGAACAGCTAAAAGACCTGTTCTTATGTAAGACGCGTCTTATCCAAGACGCGTCTTACATAAGAATTTTGTACCTTTTATACCACAAACTCGCGTCTTACTTAAGTCGCGTCTTACCTAAGTCGCGTCTTATTTTGTTCCGTATAAATGGCCCTATTAAGTCAGTTTGCTCAAAATTTCCTGACGAATTCTTCAAGGCTTCGAGTTTGCCAATATGCAAAATCCTACTGTGATCACAGAAACTTTGATAGTGTTTTAAAGAGATTAATTTTGACACAGATTGTTTAATAATCTGCAGCCGACTGTCCGCGCCGATGTGTCTATATTATAGTGAACTCGTTAAGTTTCATTGACATTGCGTTACTCGCGCATTGCTATCGGGAAAATCTGATTAACAAAATGAACTATAGTTTGAGAAGTTCTACGATATAATTTCAATGAATAAAATAAACTGCATTGTTGGAAAGCATTAAGAACAGCTAAGCATTAAAACAGCTAAGCATTAAAACAGCTAAACATTAAGAACAGCTAAACATTAAGAACAGCTAAGTAAGGTCGCGTGATATCCACCTCTAATGATATGAACCGCGTTCAATTATCATAAAGTACAATTAACCAAATACGTTCGATAAGGGCCTACCTTGGTACTTGACTACTTTCCGATCGCTCAACCGTCTCGCCAATTTAAGTGTGGCTCCAGACACATTCCCGCTTTATACTTTGTTTGTGAGTACAATATAATTTTGACCCCCGTTTTTCATCTAATCTTCGGCAGACAAACGTTATCCTAAGGTGTTGATCGACGCGTTGTTTTAATCAGGGGCGTTTTAATCGAGGGGGTGGGCACCCCACCTAGAGGTGTCTAGCAGCCTCCTAGAGAAGTCACGTCCAGCACTACCCTAAAAAAATCTGCTTGACCATATGTAACATTTTCTGCTTTTCGAATAGCGATTAGCGGAACTTCTACTGTTAGCGCGTGTCGATTTCTTGAAGCGATTTAATTGATTTGTGAGCTCACGAGAAAATACTCAGAATGCTTTAATACGTAAACATGTCGAGATTGTTATACAACCGTATTTTCAAATATACTGTACTTTAAAGCTAATTTACTGTACTGTGCTACAGCAACTGTCCAGTCACGCATACGTGATAAAAAGCCGATATAAACTTTATAAACAAAAGATAATGTAAAACGTAACAGAACGGCGAACATGCAGATTCGGGCATCTCAAATAATGGTAATGTTGGGATAGTAGCGTTGCAGACTGCAGAGGAGAGTGGGCAGTAAGGCTCCCTCATGCACCACCCCCATGGAAAACCTGCACCCCTCCACAAGAATGTGGCCTATCCAGACTATCCAAATAAACGAATCTCATAGCAACTTCGTGCCTGCAGGATCTTTCAGAAAGATCCTTGGTACTAGGTTGATCTCATAATAGTCCATTGAACTATAAATAAACTGGAAGGCTAACTCGTGGGGGGGGGAATGGACCTTTCCCCTTATAACTAAAATTTCGATCTAGACAAAAATTTCATCACAGCTTGAAAGAGCATCACAAAATTAGTAATATTCCAAAGTTTTGTTGCAAAATCTAATTGTAAAACGCGGATAATATAGCCTTGCGAAGTTTGCCGTTTTTCAGTCATTTTGTATTACAAACGGGAAATTGACATCCGATTCGGGTGTTGGGGCTGCAATTTCCCGTTTGTAATGCAAAATAACTGAAAATTGCAAACTTCGCAAGGCTCTATTTTCCTCATTTTACAACATTTCGCAACGAAACTTTGGAATATTACTAATTTTGTGATGCTCTTTCAAGCTGTGATGAAATATTTGTCTAGACTTGCCTAGATCAAAATTTTGGTTATAAGGGGAAAGGTCTATTGAAGCCAGTGCATTTTAGTTTTTCTGAGTTATGAGCAGAAATACGCAACGCTGAACGTTGGGCTATATATCAAATTGAAGCTACTGAAAAACGCTATTTGGTGTAGAAATTTCAAGACTTTAGCTAAAAGGGAAATATTGAAAAACTACAAACATAATTACCGATAATTTGCCGTTTTGCAGTTGTTTTTGTATTTTTTAAATATTTTTCTTTTCGCTGAAGTCTTGAAATTTCCACACCAAATAGCAATTTTCAATAGCTTCAATTGATATATAGCCCGACGTTTGGGGTCAAGTATTTCTGCTCATAACTCAGAAAAACTATTTTGGCTTCATCAAATCATAGGCCTTCATCATAGCAGTTAGCCTTCCAGTTTATTTATAGTTCAATGTAATAGTCCTATTCATGGTCAAATCTACGGAAGAGGTTATTTCGCTGGCCTCAGAGTGACAAAACGTAACAATGCAACGGTTTTACTAACACTATCTTTACTCCAAACACCAACTCTAACCCTAATCCTGGCTAACCCTACTCCAAGTTTGTTTCTAAACCAATCCTGAAGAAGAAAGTCTTGACGAAATGTCATTCTGAGGTCAGCGAAATGACTTCTTCCCAAATCTACGGGGGCCGGTTGTTTAAAAGTCGTTTAGCTTGACCTTAGGTTAACCTAAAATTTGAATCAAACTTCCTAATAGTTTGTTTATAAATTTGGAAATTTTTTCTGTGTTGGTGTTGTGTACTCAGGTGAATATGATATTTGTGATGTTACTGTGAGTGTATATCCACACCGGGCGAGCTTGAAAAATATGCCTGGCCACGGTGGGAATCGAACCTACGACCTTTGGAATACTAGCCCAATGCTCTGCCAACTGAGCCACGCGGTCAGGTCGGCCGGTTCGAGTAAATGATATTTCGGAACAGAATCTAGTTCCTTCGATACCAATGTAATCTAGTAATATGATTTTTTCTGTGTTGGTGTTGTGTACTCAGGTGAATATGATATTTGTGATGTTACTCTTAGTGTATATCCACACCGGGCGAGCTTGAAAAATATGCCCGGCCACGGTGGGAATCGAACCTACGACCTTTGGAATACCAGCGCAATGCTCTGCCAACTGAGCTACGCGGTCAGGTCGGTTCGAGTAAATTATATTTCGGAACAATGATATCACATACTCGAACCGACATGACCACGTAGCTCAGTTGGCAGAGCATTGGGCTAGTATTCCAAAGGTCGTAGGTTCGATTCCCACCGTGGCCGGCCATAGTTTTCAAGCTCGCCCGGTGTGGATATACACTCAGAGTAACATCACAAGTATCAAATTTGGAAATATTTCCTCAGAAATATGTTGTCTGAATCAGCGGGAGTTTTTATCTCTGGAACTTTGGAATAAACAGACGTGCAGAAATATATAAACTAAAACAGCTGGTTAAATATTAACCGAGGATAAGGCTAATCCAGGGTTGAACAACCGGCCCCAGCTCTCTAGTGAGCCGCCGACGGGGGCAAAACTTTCCCGGGGGTCCCCTATGACGTCATGATTGTAAAACGGGTGAAGCAGTGTTGTGCACTCTCCAGTAATATTCAATTTCATTGCAAATCATCCGGCACTATTAACACAGCTAGGATTCATTTCCTCAGATAAGCGATTTTGTATCAAGAAAATCTAAGGGCTTTCGTTGCTTTGGGGAGGGGGGGGGGGCGATTGGGGCTTTTGAGCTGAGGGTCCGGGGAAAAGTGCCGTGCCCTGCACATTGTTTTGGTCTCAGAGCTTTAAAGGGACCGTTCATTATTTATACCTGCGGTTGGTACCGAAGTGAAGCGAAACACAGTGTAAATTTTTTATAAGACTTTTTGGCGAAATAATTATCGACCACATCACATGTGCAAAAAAGATTACCAGCGCGGTCCTGGGGAAACAACCAAAAATTAAAGACCATTCCAAGGATGGAATTGAGAAAACGACCCTGAAAAGGGTAATTTGCTTTTTTTATCTGTCAATGTTTGAGTTCATTGAGTTTCTCTCTCATTGGAGAGTGGATTTTCCGTCAGGCTTTTGCCCAATAGACAATTCCCATTATAGACTAATTTAAAAAAAACTAGGCAAGGAGATGCAAATAAATCACCACAGCTAGAAAGAGCGTACTAAAATGAGTAAAATTGCAAAGTTCGGTTGCGAAATGTTGTAAAATGCGGAAAATATAGCCTTGCAAAGTTTGCATACTTTTGTATGCGTGCGGAAATTGCTACCATTTTCGGCCAAAATGTTCCAAAATTTGCGAATTTTGCAAGGCTATATTTTCCGCATTTTACAACATTTCGCAACCAAACTTTGCAATTTTACTCACTTTAGTATGATCTTTCTAGCTGCATGTGGTGATATTTTTTTTGCACCTCCTTGCCTAGTTTTAAAATTCGTCTATAATGGGAATTAGTCTATTGATAGGCGTTCCGAGTTTCCTATTTTAAAGTCTTTTCCGCGAAGACGCGAAAGTCTAACCATTTACTGATGTCAATGTAAAGTAACTCTTTCTCCTCAATTATTTGAAGACCTTGAGTAAAGGTCTCTTCAGTTCGGGGATTGAACCCGGCTCTCCCAGGCTTGAAAGCCAAACGTGTGATTGACTATTGGCAACACATTATAACATGCAGTTGTAAACTGGACCAATTTTCATGATATTCGTATACAAAATCTAGAACATAGCTAGTGAATTTTTTGGGGCACTTTGTTTATTGATATTTATAATTAATATATCACATTATCGCGATCAACTTCAAACAAAGAAAATGGATCGCCTTGCCTTCAGGAAATATCAACGTTTATAGAGTTTAAACTACAGAAGGCGAAGCTTGATACCAAATACGATTTTTGGTTTGTGTAATATTTGGGTCAATCAAAGAAGAAATATAATATATCTTTATAATAAAAAATTCCATCTTGATCAACTTTTTCACTGTCAAAGTTTGCGAATATGATGTCATTAGGTGAATTGCAAATTAGTTTTCCTTTATTTTTTGTACCAAAAATTCATCTAATGACATCATATCCGGAAACTTTGACAGCGAAAAAGTTGATCAAGATGAGGTTATTTACTATAAAGATACATTGCATTTCTTTTTAGAATGACCCAAATATTATACAAACCAAAAATCGGAACAATGTAATTGTTTGAAGACAATCGATTCAGTTATATATCTTGAGTTCATTACTTAAGAATTGTTCGTTTGCAAAAGATGTCAACATGTTTCTCTAAGCACTATCGTGCGGCAGATGCTGGTCAACCTGCAGTTATCAGAGTGAGAAAATCATTATGTTAGTTCTTTTCAATGAATATAAAGCCTGGTCATATTTATGGCGGCGAGTGGCACCGAAGAGAAATGTTTTTCCTGGCAAAAATGTTGCTGATCCAACCATTAAAGCGTAAAGATTTTTTACCCAACTTCAAATATCAATTAAAAAAAATATCCACTCCTAATTTACGAAAGGATACCATTCAGTTGTCACAAATGTCCTTTACCACTTCTGTGACACGAGTTTGATAACTGTTTGTGTAATTTTCTGCAGTCTAAAGTTTCATGTTGTCTGCACATGTACTTTCTTTGGAGACACCATTTGCCTCCTGACAAATCGAAAAATGATCAAGATAGTGACTCTGATTGATTGATTGATTGATTTACATATTGTATTGACATATGACTGTTGACATTGCTTTTTAGTCTTCAATATTTGAGCGAGTCATGCTTTGGAAATGACAATAAATTTTTATTACCAAACCCTTGAGTTGTTTTGTTTTTCATTTACCCAACCTTTTACTCACTCAAAATTTTGTTTACCCAACCCTTTTCTCTTCGCTGCCACCCCCCGCCGTAAGTAATGACCCCTCCCTAATCGAGATATGTATAGTTCGATTTTATTTCTCCAAATTTGACCATGCACGCGATCTGCTGCCCCGAAAGGCTTATTGAAAGATACAAATATTTACAGTCCTAAAGAAAATAAGGTGTTGTAGTCCGTGGCGGAATCACCCTTTCGCTATCAGCAACAGCTTTAAACAATTTCGCTTCTTTCGTGTCAGCATCAGAGAACGCCAGAATTGAAGCGATATTCCCGCAACGGTAGCAATAGTTTGGTGCAGACCACACGGTGACAAGCTTTTCGTCGAACATGTACTTGTAGCCCTCGTGAACAAGTTGATGAGCACGGCATATCAGTTTTAAGTTGTTGATGTGAACAAACTAAATAATATAATAAAATATGTATACTGGATAGCTCTATCAGTTCTAAACTGTTCTTCCTAGAGGTCCAGTAAGGATCATTTCTTATTGATCCAGTGTTACTACTGGAGGAAACCTAAACTAAACTAACTTTATTTATACTGGATAGCTCTATCAGTTCTAAACTGTTCTTCCTAGAGGTCCAGTAAGGATCATCTCTTATTGATCCAGTGTTACTACAGGAGGAAACCTAAACTAAACTAACTTTATTTATACTTGATAGCTCTATCAGTTCTAAACTGTTCTTCTTAGAGGTCCAGTAAGGATCCTCTCTTATTGATAAATTGTTAAACCTAAACCAGCATCTCACCTCATTTGTAACTCTGGAACCAAACAGCCATCCTGCACCCCGGGGGCTCATGGCCCACGTCTCGACATCCTCAGGATCGCTCCACACCAAGTCACAAAAAGCGCCCTTGTGGGGAATCTCCATGTTTCGTTCGATCGTGCGAATCTGATCCAGCGTCTTTATGTCTGGCGATAGTCCTCCGTGCACACAGAGCACTTGCTCGTCGATCACCTAGAAATTAATGAAATTTGAAAATGGTAAGTTTTCAGAATCTTGATATATTTGCTATGAAAATAAATACCAAATGATTTTCGTTTTTAAGATGGAGGTGCGTTTTAGCCCATCGAGTACACCCGTAAAAATGCGCAAGTTGTTCCAGGTCTGCAAACAAGTTGTCACAAATCTGTTCACAAGCTGTCGACAAGTTGTGTTCGCACTGCTTGTTCCCAGTTGTTGTAACAAGTTTGGAACAAGCTGTTAACAACTTGTAACAAGCTTGATGGCATTATAGACTTGTTACAAGGTTGTTCTAACAAGTCTGATACAGTCATGGCATTATAGACTTGTTACAAGGTTGTTCTAACAAGTCTGATACAGTCATGATATAACAAGAATGTTACAAGGTTGTTCTAACAAGTCTGATACAGTCATGATATAACAAGAATGTTACAAGGTTGTTCTAACAAGTCTGATACAGTCATAATATAACAAGAATGTTACAATGTTGTTCTAACAAGTCTGATACAGTCATGATATAACAAGAATGTTACAAGGTTGTTCTAGCAAGTCTGATACAGTCATGATATAACAAGAATGTTACAAGGTTGTTCTAACAAGTCTGATACAGTCATGATATAACAAGAATGTTACAAGGTTGTTCTAACAAGTCTGATACAGTCATGATATAACAAGAATGTTACAAGGTTGTTCTAACAAGTCTGATGCAGTCATGATATAACAAGAATGTTACAAGGTTGTTCTAACAAGTCTGATACAGTCATGATATAGCAAGAATGTTACAAGGTTGTTCTAACAAGTCTGATACAGTCATGACATAACAAGAATGTTACAAGGTTGTTCTAACAAGTCTGATACAGTCATGATATAACAAGAATGTTACAAGGTTGTTCTAACAAGTCTGATACAGTCATGATATAACAAGAATGTTACAAGGTTGTTCTAACAAGTCTGATACAGTCATGATATAACAAGAATGTCACAAGGTTGTTCTAACAAGTCTGATACAGTAATGATATAACAAGAATGTTACAAGGTTGTTCTAACAAGTCTGATATAGTCATGATATAACAAGAATGTTACAAGGTTGTTCTAACACGTCTAATACAGTCATGATACAACAAGAATGTTACAAGGTTGTTCTAACAAGTCTGATACCAATATTGTTAAATCACGAATGTATCGGACTTGTTGGAACAACCTTGCAACAAGTCTGATAATATCAACAAGGTTGTTACAAGTTGTTAACAGTTTGTTCCAAACTTGTTGACAACTTGGGACAAGCGGTGCGAACACAACTTGTTGACGGCTTGTTGGCAGACTTGCTACAAGATGTGAGATTTTTACGCGTCTACCATGAGTTCTCTCCCATTGACGAGCATAAAATCATCTGGCATTAAACAGAGTAAAATAAGTAGAGCACAATGTCTTAGAGGGTTAATAATTAACTAACTTACTGCCGCTATGGTCAAGAGGTCAAAGACCTTACAACAGTATTTCCACGCGTTTGCATTGCCGTATTTATTTTGACATTCATCTGAAATGAAATGTTGTATATTAGTGAAGTGTTAAAGTAATGAAGATTGACGAACCAAACGTAATACGTCTTGAACACACTAGACAGATTTAGGGGCTGTTTATTGATTCCCGCTTTCCAGGACGAGATATGAGGCGGGATGATTTCGATGTATTGAAATAATTCAGCAAAATACTTCATTATTTTCTAGTGATAGAATATAGTCGACGTAAACGAAAGGTTGTTCAAGCAGCAATAATCTTCTTGAACTACAAGATCTTCTCTAATGAAAAGTGTTCAAAACCTAAAATCTTTTTGGCGTTCCTCTCAAAATTACTTTGTTTTAGCTTTATTCTCTAGTTTATAGAGTTAGCTACCTTTTTAAATGCATCTGCCGGTTGAGGAACATAAAATAATAGTTAAAAATTGTCAATTAAAATACAAATATCAATGATGCTGTAAAATTGACGCCATATTTACAGCAAAACTTACTGAACTTCAGACATCATTTTCTCTTTGGCGTACCATCTAAAATCTCTTCATTTTAGCATCATTTTACAGATAAAACACTAAACACACTTTTTAAGTTTGTTTGCCGATTGAGAAACGTGTCGAAAAATAAATATTTTGAATGTAGTCATAACCTCAAGCGATATATTATACGCATTAGTTTTGAGCGCGTGTTACGTAACATACAAAAAAACTTGATTCTCTTAACCAACATTTGAACTTTCGTTTAGCCTAGTGACTTATTTCAATACATCAAAATCATCTCACCTCCCGCTATGTGGAGGCAAACTTGATGACGCGGCCTCAGGCAGGCAGATTTTATTTATGAGGCAGATTTTATTTAACTCGTCCAACGTTGCTCCAATGACGTGAGAATGCTATACTAGTTTAACAATGTATTCAGAACATCAACGTTATTCAGAACACCACAAATTATTCAAACTGTTTGTTTTGCATGAAGAATTATTTTGTTTCAAAGGCGGTTCAGTTGGCGTCGTGTTTTCTAAATCTGTCTAATAGCGCATTCATTTTGTTACTTTGAATGTATGTTACACAGGGCATAAAATTACCGTAAAATCCATAGACTTGTGTTATCTGCCTGCTTTCGTGATTCCCTCGTAGTAATGTTATTTTGTCAGGCCATCTACGGTAAAAATCAGGTTAACACCAGGTTAATTATGACTTAGAGAAACTAACCAAGTAATGTTTTTGATTCACAAACGAGATGGTGATAGCCATTCTTGTTTGAAATTATATTTGTGAAACTCAGGGGCAGACCTAGCCTCATCTGCAAGGAGGGGTGCAGGTTTTCCATGGGGTGGTGCATGAGGGAGCCTTACTGCCCACTTTCCTCTGCAGTCTGCAACGCTACTATCCCAACATTACCATTATTTGAGATGGCCGAATATGCATGTTCACCGTTCTGTTACGTTTTACATTATCTTTTGTTTATAAAGTTTATATCGGCTTTTTATCACGTATGCGTGACTGGACAGTTGCTGTAGCACAGTACAGTAAATTTGCTTGTTAAAGTACAGTATATTTGAAAATATGGCTGTATAACAACCTCGACATGTTCACTTATGAAGCATTCTGAGTATTTTCTCGTGAGCTCACAAATCAACTAAATCGTTTCAAGAAATCGACACGCGCTAACGGTATAGAAGTTCCGCTAATCGCTATTCGAAAAGCAGAAAATGTATGGTCAATGTATGGTGCTGGACTTCTCTAGGGGGATGCCAGACCAGGGTTCGAAATAACGTTCCGAAAATATGTCAAATTTTGTAGGCTGTTTTTCGTAGGTGAAAATTTTTGCCGGCTATTTTCCAAGCGAAGTTTAGTTATGTTCTGGAGTGGGCATAGGCCAAATAATAGCGATGTAAACCAACACAACATTTGTAGGAACGCAGTAATACATTTTATTTGGTGTATGAACAAACATTAACAAGTTCTGTGTATATGTACGGTGTTATTGTAAGCGAGCCATCGATGAATAAATATAATATTTTCGCCGATCCTCTATGCTTTGAAATTAAAAATCGCCGGCAAGGTCCTAAAACTGCCGGCTATCGCCGGAAGCTATTTCGAACCCTGTAGACACTACTAGGTGGGGTGCACATCCCTTATATACCCCATGTATGGTAGATCTGCCCCTGAATAAAAAGTGATGTAGACATACTTTGCCTTCAAAGTGAGAAGCCTCGTGAAGCTTTCTAAGCTATAGTAGCCCCTGTCGACAAAATCACCCTGTAATATGAAAAATATACATTTTGTTCACAGACAGGTACAATACACTGATTTTCATCGATATAATTCATCCTAAAATGTTTAATGTATGTGAACTCCTTTGTCTTTATCGTACCATAAAAATGTACGCCGTATCGGGGACTTGACCACCAGTTCTGAACAGCTCTTCCAAATCATAAAACTTAAAAACAAAAATTTTTGATTTACTGTATAATCCTCTAGGGTACCTCAAGGGATATTCTTGTGAAGTCGGTAAAAATTTAGGCGTTTACGCATGTAAGACTAAAGTGAGGCGGTTTTCGGTAAACCGAAAAACCGATGTTTTTTGAAAATTGAAATACTCAATGTTACTTTTGGATGAAAACCGGGGAAAAACGAAGAAAAATCAGTATTCTACTAAAATCGAACCATACTTATACGAGTTTGTTGCGAATGAATCAAGCTTTGGCAATTACACACGAAAAACTAAAGAGATTTTGTTTGAAATTTGATAAAGTCTTCAAAATACCTTACGTTTAATATCTTGCGTGAGTGCTGAGTAACGTGTTGTGTCTTTTTTTACCGTACTTTCGATTTTCGAACGTATTTTTATAAAAAACTGGTTTACTCGTTTTTTTCGGGATTTTTGGTCGATTTTTGGTCGTAGAAACCGCCTCACGCTATGTAAGAGGGGACGTCAGGACGACAGCTATCAATACAATGACATTAATCTTGTAATCCACGTAAATTTATTACTGCAAAGCTTTGGATCCATCAGTGCTAATAATATAGCATTAATCCTACAGCACATAAGAAATTAATGCACATTTCCACGTCTCATATAGTACGCTAGCATTTCAAGCTGTGACAGGTCGTTTTTATTTGAGCAAGCTCTAGGGGCTAGGATTGGGATCTCAATCAGTTTATTTTTTTCGAAGTGGTATTTCTCTGGTCACGCAAACCAACAAGCTTTGGCTATTTGTCTGTGAATTCATTTGATTGGTTAATTTAAATGGCCAGTGGTTGTTTCACAATAACGGGAACCTTATCCGCGCCTAACGTACGGGGGTACCTAATCTCTAACCTGATCTGGCCTTGCAGGTCGATCCACGGAGCTAGCACGTACAAGGCAAGTGCCTTAGGTGCTGATTACATGGTGCCGAGCTGGCCCGGTTAACCGGGCTGACTCGTTTGTTTAGGACCTTACTGTGGTTTTAAAACTCGCGTAAAATAAATTTGCGATAAATAATTGGTTTATTATAGATGCAAAATCATCCTAAACCCGATTTAAAACTCATTTTGCGTCCCAAGTAAGATTTTCGTGACATTTTTACCGGGCTGGCCCGGTCCATGTAATCAGCCCCTTAAACACTTGGCCACAAGAATGTACAGCAGAAATGTAACTCGAGTCAGTCATTGTTTTACGTCCACAAAAATTATAACTCGCTCACACCATCATGGCTAGTACAACCGGAAGTTTTTATCAGGTTTTGGTAGGTACAAAGTGCCGGTTGTACTAGCCAGGAATCGCTTGTAAAAATGCGGACAAATACTTGCTTGAGTGACGCTTCTGCTGTATGTTCTTATTCTGTGACTCGGCTAACGAGGATTTGCTTGAGAATTGATTAGATTTACTCGACGTTGTGCCGCTCTTTCAACTTAAGCTGTTGTTCGTAATTCGTCATGTTTTCTGTAAATTGTATATTTGTTCTCGTCTTTGATTTATGTTTGTTACAGTTTGTTTTCATTAAGGTTGGTCTTCACATGGGGCTATTCATGTCCTGTTGACCATACCTTCAACCATATTATGTAGGGTTTAATCTATTTTATGTATGGTTGTAAAGTTAATAAATAAATAAATTTAGCATACCAGCAGAACAAAGAAAATAATTGTGCCAGGTACATAGCCAAAGCTTGTTGATTTTCATGACCAGACAAACCACTTCCTTATTTTTTAAAATTTGACTATGAATACTGGACTAAAAGTCGCTATAATTATAGTACATTTTGAAAATTGAAATTTGACGTGCTGAAAATCAGTAATGTTGTTTTGTACATCAACCAGCCCATACCACAGAAAAACCGTTTCAATTATGTTCAATACCTGTCCATGAATATCACCACAGACAGTCACCGGTGACGATACTGGTTGGACGTTTGATTCCTCCAGTAACAAGTCGCAGACGTAATCGCACAATTTCTGGAGAAAAAAAAATTCAAACCTCGGTTTATAAAGCGGGGCAAAATAATGGTGAATTCGTGGGAAATGGGCGCCAAAAATTGGCAGAAATATACACGAATATGTGAATTTTACTATGAATATTGTAAATTTGAATCAAATACCTTGAGATCGTTTTCCGGCAAGTATTTGCACTCTTTTGCAATATCTATCCATCGATCCAAATCCGCCATTTTGTTGGGTTTGTTGTCGTTTGTTTGCCGAAATGCATGACGGATGAAATTCGCAAAAAAATAGAAAATTTACAAAAATACAAAATTTGCATTTTAGATTGCTTCTTTTTGTTTAGTTGGGGAAAGAAACACTATAAAATTATTAAAAGTGGTACCTAACTAGCGTGTTTCACTACTTGCAAACAATGTTTTGTATTGAAAGTGCTTAGAAATTTTAATACTAACCAAATAAAATCTGAAATTAATGCACTTTTATATTTCCAAGATGGCGGCCGGTCGAGAGGAGGGTGAGGGGATTGGGGACTATGTTAAATTCCAACATGGCCGCTAATCGGGTGCTTTTTTTTAGGTTCAAAACAGCTCAATATTTGGGCAAGAATTCATTGGATTTCTTGTGTATTTTGCGGAGATTTTATGCACAGAATGTAGCTTCAGCCGTGCCACAAAAACCAACGGAAATATCCCAGGAAAGAGGTAATATATCCCCTACTGAATGTGAGCAAATATATCATTTGTACACAGAAATTTAAATTCCCCTGCATTTATATGTGGCTTTTTGACATTTAGCTGCTCCAGGCAATGAACAAAACAAAAGAAAATTTAGGGTAAGTCATAGTAGTGTAGCCAGCCCGACGATTTAGTCCCGCTATGCAAATATTTTCGTGTTCATTGACTGTGAAAACAATCAATTTCTAAAGAAATGAATAATCAATGATAATAATAAGTCATCGGTTTCTGTTCTTATGGGACAGAAAAGCCCTAAAAACAGTAAAATGTATAAGACACTTTGCAGCTTTAATGATAAGATATCATTCATTTCGATCCATAGATCCGTCCTAAGGCTGAACGACTGGACATCGACAAAGTAGACTGGCCTTCGTTTTATTCCACGGCAAGCTCTTACAACTCGTGGCTCGTACCACTTCCGCTGAGGATGGGGCGAAGCCGACACAACAAGGTCGGCGGTCTCCCGCTTCGGGACATGGGAAATATCGAACTGTTGAAGGTTAGTTGACCTTGTATCTTTGGTTTGAACAAAACACCGAGATACGCCAAATAAGTGGACATGAACTAACGGGTGTCCCCCCCAAAAAGATCATTGCATTCAGAAAGGACTAACTTAGATTTTGATATATAACACTTGAATTTACATGCAATATTGACTGTGCTATTGACATTTGAACTTTGAACTACTGTTTTTGAAAATGCCAAAAATTAGCACAAATTTTTTTGCATTTTCGAAAACAGTAGTTCATCTGTATATCGGATATATGTATCGGTAACTATTTTGTACGAATGTAATTTGTAAATTTTATGCAATTCAGCTGTAGTAGCTGCGAAGTAAAATTCTATTAAACTATCTATCTATCTATTTATGCGGTGCATTGACGTAGCGAATTTAATGTTTTGTAGATTCCCAACTTTTTTCACCTGACACCTCCAGCAATTGAAAGACATTGTGAAGCCCTAAAAGGTTGGAAAAAGAATCATCCATTAATAATACCAAAAATATTCCATGAATTATCTTTTATATGCTTCCCTCTTAATGGGTCATTCCAGAAAACATCCATACCACTCCCATGGAGGAAATTGGAAGTTAACCCCCCCCCCCCTACCCCCTTTGAATGTCCTAATACATTTACTATTATCAGAAACAATTTTCTCTCCCCTTCCCCTTCGGACGGCAGAAATTTCCTCTGTGGGGGGAGTGTGGATCTTGTCTGGAATGACCCAATAAGCCTCCTCTCTCTAATAAACCTCTTCTCTAATAAGCCAATTAACCCTCTCACTCTCTCTAATAAGCCTCCCCTCTCTCTCTAATAAGCCTCCTCCCCCTCTCTCTCTAATAAGCCTCCTCCCCCTCTCTCTCTAATAAGCCTCCTCCCCCTCTCTCTCT